TGAAAAGCTGGGGGTTTCCCCCGATTTCAAACATTTTCGATAATATGCTCAATTAGACTTAGTGATATATTTGAATAAATGAACTGGGCTTGGTAGAAATCGATAAAGTACTTACCGAGCATAAGCGGAGTCGTGCTTTGAGGAATATTTTATATATTACAGTGCTGGTGTTCAATTAAAGCGGTTTAAGAAAGTTTACTGTCGAAAATACTATTTGAAAAACTTAATTCAGTTAAATTGACAAGATATGGTAAATATTGAATTAGTACACCTTTGAAGAAAGTTCGCGATATGTATGTAGACTGGAGTTGTAATTAAATTTCCAAAAATTTGTTTGAAAATCTCTTATCATAAATCTATTTATTTTATTTTCCAAAAATTAGGCCATACGAGTCTAGGAAGGGAGGAACAATCCAAAAATACTTTTTTCATGAATTTTTTGATATGAAATATTAATTTATCTGTCGTTAGTATGTTAATTTAGTGGCCAAGGCATTCGGTGCCAAGCGTTTATTGTAGCNTTATGTGCACCCTCCACACAGACCCCAATCACCCCTGAAAATTTCTTTGATATCGGGCAAGCCGTCTAGGAGGAGTATGCGAACAGGAAGTTTTGCCACTTAATTTTATATATATAGATGAAATTTGTCAGCTACAGATGTGAATTGATTGACAGTCATAGTTTACATATCCTCGTTTAAAGTACAAAACCGCTTATCGTGATTCTGCAAAACCGCGTAACTGACATTGGCTGCCAAAAATTGGATTTGCTCGCACAAGCTCTTGGCTCAATCCTTATACATTCGTCCTGAAATATACTAGGCAGATATGCGATTGCTTTAAAAAAAAGAGAACCATTTTGAAATATGAGCGTTTTTAGGCTCTAGAAAATAATTTCTACAACTTCAGATACGCGGTTTTGCATTTTGTTGATACGCGGTTTTGCACTTTAAACGACGATATGTGTTGATCTAGAGTACCCTGTTTAACTGAGATGACTAACCTTTTAGAATTTTTCGAATCAGTTAAAGAAAACTCAACTTAAAAGGTACTACAAAATATTGCAAAGAAGTACATTTGACTGTACTTCGAAGTACGAAGTACAACGGCTCAAAAAGAAGTACAGTACTTCCGAAAGAAGTACGGTTGGTCACATTGTGTATACATCTTGTTTATAGTTATGTGGTACATATTTTTAGGCTCTGTTTTCTGCATACAAATCCGCAGTCTAATAATAAATCTATATCAATATACTATCAGAAACTGTGGAAATCAAATTAAAACAATTTTGACCACCCTATTACATGTATTTACATTTGCAATCCATTGAAGACTTTAAAGTGCCCATTTAACCTCACATATTTTGTGCTTTCGTCTACATGTTCGTTGAAATTTAATATTTCTTCAAGGTCACAACATTGATGTGATTGGAAGGTTGTCAATACAATCCAATGTTAAATCCGGTAAGCTCTTTTAGTGTTTGTGCTTCTTCATGTAAATTCCCGTCGAAAGAGAGAGAAATACTAGGAAAGGGATTTAAAATCAGAGGCGAAAATGCCAACTTGGACGCGAAAGTAGCAAAGCTTTTTCGAATCAGTCAGCTGTAATGGCTTAAGACCGATCGATGTCGCGTTAAATAAAAGCTTGTAATTATCTACTAGGTTATGAAGTTTCCGCCGTTAATATTGTGGGAAACGACTGGCGTGCTTTGTTGAACTCGGCCAAAATCGCTAAGGCGGTTACAGTGCCAAATAAGAAGAAGAAGATGCCTATATCTGCCACTGGTCGTCCTACATCCCATTCTTCTCTGGTCGAAAACCTAATAGGTATCTTGGTATTGAAGTTCCAAACCGCGCCTGTCGCATTAGGTTGCGGCTCCTATTTCAGCAAGGAATCCATTAAGCCGTCCCTTTTTTATTTCATGAAGTATTGCTGCTAGCCCGAGATTGGTTGGTTTCCAGGTATTCGCTTCCCAGGGGCTGAGGGCGCTATTTGCGGCCGTACCGTGTACAGAAATATGCAGCGGTTTTGATGAAATATCATGCTAGGCCCCTCCTGAAGTGCACTTTGTCTAGAGATTTCCACAAAACTAAGACTCCAGGGGTTTATAACCAGTTTGAGGACTGTGGTGGGCATACCATAGGTAAAGTATGGTGACAGTCCCCATCGCTTTCTAAAAGTCTTATTGCACGTGCTGCTGGACCCTTCAATTAAGTTTGGAATTCAGAATGATACCGAGAGAGATTGAAAGTAGCTCCCCACTTCCCATCTTGGCAGAGAAAATGTGTTTTGTTTTCCTGGTAAACAAGACCGTTTCTGTCTAGGAGCAGTTAACCCCCAATCAGTTATGCTTAGCTCCCTTAGAGATATCGCCTAGCGTGCTGCACAGTCGTTCCATATCCACGAAAAGCGGAAACATTTCAATATTTCGCAAACGGTTAGTCCAATCAGACTGCAAACTTCCGTTCCGTTTTGCTGGAGAATGGCCTAGTTTTCGAATCGGGCTTGGCTAGCAATTCGAAATGATTGGAAAACCAATATGTTTTTCGAGCCTCACCTTCGATAACTAATGCGGAATAGACTAGTATTCGATTCGAGAACTAGGCCATTCTCCNAAGCGGAAACATTTCAATATTTCGCAAACGGTTAGTCCAATCAGACTGCAAACTTCCGTTCCGTTTTGCTGGAGAATGGCCTAGTTTTCGAATCGGGCTTGGCTAGCAATTCGAAAATGATTGGAAAACCAATATGTTTTTCGAGCCTCACCTTCGATCACTAATATGGAATAGATTAGTATTCGATTCGAAAACTAGGCCATTCTCTAGCAAAACGGAATCTTCGTTATCCAATGTATTTTTGCTTCGTTATGAATTCGATATCCAGCCCATTATCGAATTGAAAATTTAATTAGAGAGAGTGATTGTCTTATATTTTTCCTTCGAAAATGAGCTAGATTTCACTTCCTCTCTTGTTACTATGGTTTTTATATTTTTTCGAACCCATCTCCAGTGTATTTCCAATACACTATGAACGTTGAAAAACTAAGATTGGTTTTGAGTTCGTTCTCAGTTCGATATGTATATTAAATATCGAAGGTCATTTTCAAACGTTCGGCAAAATGTTTACAGGGTTGGATAAAAACTAACCGATTTTGTAAATTTTTGTAATTTGTGTTCAAGCCTATTCTGTTACAAAAAAAAATCGAGCTACTAATGAAAAATGTTACTCATACGCCATGTAGCATTTTCCTCACTTTCCTTTTCTATTTATCCACCGATTTCCTTCATTAGTAGCTTTTTTGTAAGAGACCAGACTGTAAATCAAATAAAAGAAAATTACACAGAAAATGTTTTTTTTTTTAATTTGTTTCCTTTCAAGTTTGCTTTTTTTTTAATTTTTTCATCAACAANTCACTTCCTCTCTTGTTACTATGGTTTTTATATTTTTTCGAACCCATCTCGAGTGTATTTCCAATACACTATGAACGTTGAAAAACTAAGATTGGTTTTGAGTTCGTTCTCAGTTCGATATGTGTATTAAATATCGAAGGTCATTTTCAAACGTTCGGCAAAATGTTTACAGGGTTGGATAAAAACTAACCGTTTCTGTAAATTTTTGTAATTTGTGTTCAAGCCTATTCTGTTACAAAAAAAAAATCGAGCTACTAATGAAAAATGTTACTCATACGCCATGTAGCATTTTCCTCATTTTCCTTTTCTATTTATCCACCGATTTCCTTCATTAGTAGCTTTTCTGTAAGAGACCAGACTGTAAATCAAATAAAAGAAAATTACTCAGAAAATGTTTTTTTTTAATTTTTTTCCTTTCAAGTTTGCTTTTTTTTAATTTTTTCATCAACACACAAAATTAATTAATTTCTCAGAAATTATCGGTCCTATCGAAAAGTGATGTATCTACGGTTTATGGTGGATTTTGTTAGCTTTCATTTGCTATAATTCCTATTAAGATTATTCAATTGCATCATAAGATATACGTGATTAAGTGGAACCACTTTTTTTTTAGCTGAAATATGGTAAATGGCTAATATCTCGAAAACTTATCCACAGNAATTAATTAATTTCTCAGAAATTATCGGTCCTATCGAAAAGTGATGTATCTACGGTTTATGGTGGATTTTGTTAGCTTTCATTTGCTATAATTCCTATTAAGATTATTCAATTGCTTCATAAGATATACGTGATTAAGTGGAACCACTTTTTTTTTAGCTGAAATATGGTAAATGGCTAATATCTCGAAAACTTATCCACAGGAAAAAATAACTCTGTTTTCGGAATCAGCGACCAGTAAACAGTGTTATTCTTTCGGATGTTATTAGGATGAACGATGAAAGATTTACATTCGGTCTGAAGTGNGGAAAAAATAACTCTGTTTTCGGAATCAGCGACCAGTAAACAGTGTTATTATTTCGGATGTTATTAGGATGAACGATGAAAGATTTACATTCGGTCTGAAGTACTTTAGCTGTGAATGATTTAAGTTCCCTGTCTTCGGAATGAATATAATCTTCCCCTCCCTCTAAGCCTTCCGTGCATACCCACTTTCCGAGCATCTTACGAATATGCCTCTTAAATGGGGTATCAGACTGATTATAGCATAGCGGGCACCACGCCCTCCGGTCCCGTTGCTGTGAACATATCAAAGCACCTGATAGCCCAAGCTACCTTCTCCTCAACCACAATATTTGCGATATGAAGAGCTCTTAAGTACACACTTACATGTCTACATGTAGTACGCTTGTATAGAAATATTTCGTACTCAGAAGCGCACCCGAACGGTATTGACAATGAAAATGCAAACGTACGCCTTTGCACAAAATTACGAATAATTGAAAGAGGAAATGCCTCGAAAAAGAGAGCAAAAATGCATTCGTATATGAATAAAGTGAGCATATTCAGCAAATTAGTCAAAATGACAGGTTGAGAGCAAACTTCAGCAGACTGTGCGACACTCACTCGTTAAATCTGCAGCAGTAGTCTAGATACCGTTATTGATGCTTGTCGGCGAATTAAGGACCTGGCAATTTTAGGCTGACATGTCAATAAATTTAAGAAAATAATTTCACGCAAATGAAAAAATGATTGCAGCACTTTCCTAAATTCAAAGTTGTGAATAATTGTTGTGTTTTGTGCTGTGATAGCGCATCGATAGGAGCAAGCAAGTGAAAAATTTTCGCAAATTAAAATAGAAAACAAACAAAAAAAATTAAGTATTAAAAGCAAGCAAATATCGATTCTGCACAAAAATATGGCATTCGTGCAACGTTAGTGCTGTACAGTGATGGCCGGTAGCAGGCACAGCAATAAAAATGGCCCACAAGGGATTTACGAGTGCGTAAGAAAAATTGAAAAATCGAAATTTCCACAAACATTGTACAAATTGGGAAGCCAAGGGGGAAGTGCTTTTTCATATTTTTACATGCATACATGCATACGTATAGTATGTACGAATTTAAATGCGGTAAAAGCTGATATGAGCAAATCTCAAGAGTTGATTTTTAGCGTCACTCCCTTCTCTCGGCAGAAAACACACCCTTAAGCATTCTTCTTGCATATACATATGTATTTCAATCAATGATGTTCCTGAAACAATAAAAAATAAATCAATTATTTTAACAATTTTAGTCTTAAAACGATAAGTTAGGCGAAAAAATACCGAAATTACAAATTTTTTCTTGGTCACTCGAAAACAATGGTTTATTAACACATATCTTTGGGAAGTTTTCAAATAGAATGTTCATATTAGAGGCAATGAAAGTTGGTAAAGTTCCAAGAGTGTGCCGCCAAATTAAAAAAAAAAAAAAAAATATGGAAGCATGCAGAATATCTATTGCAGCCGTTTTGTAATTTTTGGAATTTACTTCAAAATGTCAACATTAAATGGTGAAAATGTTCTTACCAAAAGGAATCAATCTAGAGCAATAAATGTGGCACCAAATGAATTACCTACATTGATTATAAAATGACAATTTTTTACGAAACGAAAATTCCAATTTTACAACTTTTATTGGTACTCTCGAAATTCATTCTGAAATTATTATATACATGAAGAAATTAATATAAGTATATATTCATGAAGAATTCTGTAGAAAAATATTCCACGCCAATATTTAATTACTTTTAAATAATAAGTTGGAAGTTGACAGGAAAGAAAAAGTAATTTTCCATTTAAATTGTTGGTGAAACCGGCTGTTAAGTTAAGACCCGCGAGTTCACTGTGTACAATTCTACGGGGCGTATACGTTACATATACAACGTATATTTGGACGAGTTATTTTGAATTTCATGAGTATAAAGTTTTTAAGTTTTCATTTAAAGGTATCCACACACTTATGCGATTGTTTGTCCATAAATTGACAGTTTTTACTGCGATAAAATCGCACAGATATGTGCCTGCTTGAGTTTTCAAAGCAGTAACGTCTGTAGCATCAAAAGTGGTGCGGATTCGTTGCTACTGCATCGCATAGGTGTGTAGATGCCTTAAATACAATGTTGCGATGGGTTCTTGTTCTTCATGCAAAACTGAAGATAATACATTCTCTAAGAAAAGTGTGTCACCATTTTCGACCAAAAACACGTTTTTGTCGAATAATATAACATCTCGTGAGATCTTCATATGCATGAATAGACATCATACTGGTATCCATATCGATGAATATACTATAGTATTATTGAAATCAATTGATAAAAAATCGGTAAAAAATTTCGATAAATAGAAAAATATGTATGTATGTCGATAAAAATTTGGTAATAAACGATAACGATATCGAAAAATATTGCGATAACCAATTCGAGATTTAAATATGCTTCAATCCTTTTTTGCTGACGGTGTTATTCTTCCTTACCCTGAGTTTCACCCAAAAAAAAATTCATCCGAAAATTGTTCATCCGCCCACAGTAAAACCATGGAAACCAAAAGTGAAAAGTGAACCGGTTCTGGGAAACTGAAACTCATGATAAGGCTGATTATTATTTTCTTCCATACCAAAAAAAATATTGCCGCGTGGCACCGCACAGTGTTTCGACGATATGGAGTCAGGGGGAAAAAATAGTAAGGTTATTTGTATCAGTTGCGTTGCCGATGTGGCGTCTTCTATGCAAAATTACAGAGTTAAGTAAGATGTCAGTCAAAAGCATCCCTGCGACGCAGAAAAAATTTTTTTTTAACTGGTGGGGCCGTAAGCAGCGAAGAAAACGCCCGATAAAAATAGGCACGGCCAGAGCGTTGGCGCATTTTTCTTCACCGCGGTTTTTAACGCATATTTTTTTCGCAGTCAACTTTTAAGCTCGCGTCTCAATTCGCGTTCAGTAACGATATGTACATAGACTGAAAGCTAAATATTGACGGTCCTATTCCTACGCCGACAACTAAACCCATCGAGCACTAGCCACAACAAAAGCAATGACAATTGCTACTATTAGTACGCTTAAAATCAAGTTTTTATGGCATAGTTTTAGGCTGAGTAAATTAGGCAGTAATGCGTAGCAATTGTACAGTTGGTAATGGGTTTTTTGTATATAATTATTTGCAGCGCCTAAGGCTTTGCGCTAAATGTTTTAAAATCTTTCGAAGCTAAGCAATTCATGTATAACCATTATTTTCTTTTAATTTATTCAATATTACTCTGGCACATTAATTCTAACACTTCATCCCTTTTTTAGAATATAATTTGCAACGGGATTCAGAAAAAGACGCGTAACAATTAAGAAATCAGTATCTACATAGACTCAAAACTATTTGCACACTGTCTTCAATAACATGACAATGGATTGGAGTTGGGCCATTGCTGGTGTCAACGATGAAATACCTCGTACAGCGGGTCCCGAATGCATTAACTATATGACAAATCGTCGACGCTGGACCGAATCAATAATACTCAGCCTAATATTTATATATTTAATATATTGGGCTGCGAAGCGCATGGATCCGATAATAGTGCCATCGGCGAAGGAAATCAATAAGCCACACTCTGCCATAAGATTAATGCTAATGATATTGATGACTTTTATCTTTGGTGTGGAAATGGGTTTTAAATTTGCCAATAGAAATATGATATATGTCTTGAATCCATGCCATATACAAACTTTGGTGCAGGTAATTTTTGAGCAATTGGTTTTTGAATAATTATTAGCCCGTTGTTTGTATGTTTGTAGATTTATTTATTGGCCGCTAAGCCTAGTAAAACTACTACAGCATTATTTCGAATACAAATGAATAATTTGAATGGGCCCTTTTTGGCGTTTCTATTTCCGGAAGTCGAATGTCGTACCCTTCATTTTGAACAAGCGACCTATTGGATTCAGCATGCGCTATTATATATAATTCCAGTATATATATTAAAGAGTGGTGAGTACGAAAGTTAAAACACTTTTACCTCAATGAATTAGATAAACTTTGAGTAGTAGATTTGCGAAAACTCCAGTTTCGAAGAGATGAAACAGAAGTAAGACGGATTACAAAGATAAGTTTGGTTAAAATTACACTGTGCGACAGCCGAAACCAGCCTAGACTTTGTTAACATTTTCTGAAAGTATACCAATTCAGTAGTAAAACACTCGATGGACTGGCAAAAGTTAGCTCTTATTTGTCTTAACCTTTAATTTCGCTCAGACATTTAGTTTAACAATCTTTTCTACGTTTTTGAAAACTAAATACTTAGGGCGAGGCATGAAAACTTTAGTAGGCCATAAAATAAAAATACGAGCTAATTTTGCAAACCCATGGAATGTTTTATTACTGGATATGTATACTTTAAGAAAATATTAGCAAAGTTCGG